TCCTGCCAGTCTATCATTATCATGTTACCACACTAAAATGATTGACATTTGTCTAGTTCTTGCCAGACGTTTAGCAGCATTACTGGAAGAACATAGAAGGTCCATGCATTGTTCATTGGTTAAAGAGCTGTCACATAGTTGTCACGGAACAGTTACAAAAAGTGGAGGGAGGACTCAAGTGCAGAAAATGATGATTTATTTACAAAAGAAAACAAAACACAAAGCAAAAACCCACAAGGGGGAAAACACCATAAATGGGACATGAAACAAAACTGAACTCGAAGAACAAACACTTACTCTAAACACGAAGACCATAACTGGGAAACATATGACAACGATCCGACAAAGACTGCAAACAAGAGGAGACTTAAAAAGGGAACAAATCAAGAGGGAACAGGTGGAAGAACTCAAACACTAATCAGGTAACAAGGGGGAGGGATCAAACAATAACGAGAGCACATGGCCCAACATAACAAAGACACCCAAGTGCAATACAAGACAGGACAGACACGTGACATTACCCCCTCCCTACGGAGCGGCTACCAGACGCTCCATCAGGCGGGACAGACCAGGGCAGGACGGGCGGGAAAGACCAGGGCGGGACGGGCGGGACAAAGCGTTTAGTCCTGGGTGACCCGGGCGAAACACAAAGTCCCTCGGGCGGCCAGGGCGGAGCAGAACCCTCGGGTGGCCAGGGCGGTGAAGAACCCTCGGGCGGCCAGGGCGGAGCAGAACCCTCGGGCGGCCAGGGCGGAGCAGAACCCTCGGGCGGCCAGGGGGGTGAAGCATTTTGGGCAGCAGACACCAGCTCGGGAACAGACACCGGTTTGAGAACAGGCAGTGGCTCAGGAACAGGCACTGGCTCTGCCTCCGGCTCTGGAACAGCAGCCACTGACTCAGGAACTGCCGACACCGGTTCAGGAACAGCCACTAAAACAGAAATGGTCACAAGGACAGATGCAAATACAGAAACAAACACTGGGTCCGGAACCGACAGGGGCTCCAGCTCTGGAACAGGCACTGGCTCTGCCTCCGGCTCTGGAACAGGCACTGGCTCTGCCTCCAGCTCTGGAACAGACACTGGCTCTGCCCCCGGCTCTGGAACAGGCACTGGCTCTGCCCCCGGCTCTGGCTCTGCCCCCGGCTCTGGAACAGACACTGGCTCTGCCTTCGGCTCTGGAACAGGCACTGGCTCTGCCCCCGGCTCTGGCTCTGCCTCCGGCTCTGGCTCTGCCCCCGGCTCTGGAACAGACACTGGCTCTGCCCCCGGCTCTGGAACAGGCACTGGCTCTGCCCCCGGCTCTGGAACAGACACTGGCTCTGCCTCCGGCTCTGGAACAGGCACTGGCTCTGCCTCCGGCTCTGGAACAGGCACTGGCTCTGCCCCGGCTCTGCCTCCGGCTCTGGCTCTGCCCCCGGCTCTGGAACAGACACTAGCTCTGCCTCTGGCTCTGCCTCCGGCTCTGGAACAGGCACTGGCTCTGCCCCCGGCTCTGCCTCCAGCTCTGGCTCTGCCCCCGGCTCTGGAACAGACACTAGCTCTGCCTCTGGCTCTGCCCCCGGCTCTGGAACAGACACTAGCTCTGCCTCTGGCTCTGCCTCCGGCTCTGGCTCTGCCCCCGGCTCTGGAACAGACACTGGCTCTGCCTTCGGCTCTGGAACAGGCACTGGCTCTGCCCCCGGCTCTGGCTCTGCCCCCGGCTCTGGAACAGACACTGGCTCTGCCTTCGGCTCTGGAACAGGCACTGGCTCTGCCCCCGGCTCTGGCTCTGCCCCCGGCTCTGGAACAGACACTGGCTCTGCCTCCGGCTCTGGAACAGGCACTGGCTCTGCCCCCGGCTCTGGAACAGGCACTGGCTCTGCCTCCGGCTCTGGAACAGGCACTGGCTCTGCCCCCGGCTCTGCCTCCGGCTCTGGCTCTGCCCCCGGCTCTGGAACAGACACTAGCTCTGCCTCTGGCTCTGGAACAGGCACAATCTAAGTCATTGTCGTCCATGCAAGCGTCATAATCCAACCACTCAAAATCCTTGTGATCCATACTGCTGAGTCCTCAAATGGTCGGATCGTTCTGTCACGGAACAGTTACAAAAAGTGGAGGGAGGACTCAAGTGCAGAAAAGGATGATTTATTTACAAAAGAAAACAAAACACAAAGCAAAAACCCACAAGGGGGAAAACACCATAAATGGGACATGAAACAACACGGAACTCGAAGAACAAACACTTACTCTGAACACGAAGACCATAACTGGGAAACATATGACAACGATCCGACAAAGACTGCAAACAAGAGGAGACTTAAAAAGGGAACAAATCAAGAGGGAACAGGTGGAAGAACTCAAACACTAATCAGGTAACAAGGGGGAGGGATCAAACAATAACGAGAGCACATGGCCCAACATAACAAAGACACCCAAGTGTATTACAAGACAGGACAGACACGTGACAATAGTATTGCATTGGAAATAACCTACAGTATAAGGGCAAACTAAAATATTACCATAAAATATGGGATCTTTATACATTTTCTGGAAAATAACCAAATATCGATAAAGCAATGTTAGATACCGCTCACTTCACAGATTGATATGTGTATATATGATGCGCTTATGAACTTGAAAATATATGGGCATGTCTGTCTTAGCCTTTGTATAATAACTTCTATACCGGTCTGATTTTTTTGGATGCAGAGGGTGTGAGTGTGAAGGTAGTTAATATATATATATACACGTATATAATGTTTTGTTTTATGTGAATGTTCTTGTTATATTCCATGTTTTTCAATAAAAATGTTTTTTTTTTTAAAAATACATGTATTTAATACATTGCAATTATACAACATTGAACTACTGTAAGGTTAATGTGTGTGTTATGGAGCGACGGCCGGGCCAGGGATGGCACAGGTGTATTATAGGTTTAGGATGCCTGTGGTTGCCTGATTATACTCACAGTACCAGCGATGTAACCGTACTGGGTCATGCTGGTGTTTTTTTTTTTACCATTTACCAACTGGCTAAGAATGCTATTTGAATAACTTAAATGAAAAATTTGATGATCATCTGTAACGCAGTCGCTACTAACATCTGATATAATATGTAAACCGTTCTCTATTGTATAAAGTGCAACACATGACTGGAGGACTGAATTGCAGAACTTGTGCAAACATGTCCACATCAGTATGATCAGATGCGTTATTAACTGCTGCTCTTTCACTTCTGTATTTTTGTGGTGTTAGTTTTGAGAGGAAAGCTTGCAGCCCACACGTGTATATTGATTTAAATGGCACTCTTAGCAGCGCAGAGAGTTGTGTGTGAACTCTTAGGCCCTGTTAAACCTGGTATTAAGATGCGATTTGGTCGATCTGATACACATCTATTAACACCTGGTGTTTTAATCGGTCTTTTTAGTCCACTTTTGTCTTGATTTCTACTATGGTAGGGTAAATGTAGGGCTTTTTTTTCAGATTTTTTGATCTAACTGTCAAGGTAAGCTCATGGAATTTACATATGAACACAACCAGAGAGGACAGAAAAACATACACAGAGTGAGTGTGTGAACACTGTATATGTTAGAGATCAGGAAGTGAGAGAGAACATTGTGTTCTTGACTGCCTGTGGAAGTGGTCGAAAGTAGACGAAAGTGGAAAAGCTCAAAACCAGTTTTTAGTAAGTGTTTTAGCATGGTTTATTTTGCAAACAGCACGACTCTTGTTGATCTCTTTAGTGTTTTCTTTATAGTGGAAGCCACACCTCAGCTTAGTATATACACATCATATTACTGTAAATAAATATTTGTATAAACAAAAGTTCAGGTCCTCGAATCTGAATATGAGAGGAGCCATGAGATGAGAGGAGTGAGTGTCAGTTCTGGGACTTCTCACGGTTTGCACATTTGGCTGTTATAACAGAAGTACAATAGCCGAACAAATTAAAAAATAAATGTCTTAAGGCTCAAGAGCCCAACTAAAGCAAACACTGATCTCCATAATGGTAACCAATTACGATTTTCTCCTTTAGAGATTCTGATGTTATGGTGACTTCAAATGAAACACAGAGTTAAACCTCTGTTAGTTCTCAATGAAAACTTCTGTAGAAGTCTGACAGAAATAAAGAAAGTCTGGTTAGTAATAAGTGAATCTGGTAATGCTGTTTGTGGAGTTGTTTAATCCTCCTCTGCTGAGATCTTCAGAGATTTAATGTCTTCTTTTCTCTTGAGGTGATTTCATCTAAGACTGTGTCTAAAGTCAGTTGTAGTTGTTCTGCTCGTCTCTTTTTCCATTCTCTTCTTTCCTTTAGTGATTCTGCTTGTTAACAGGCTTATTAAGGTTGAGATGACTCCATGTTTAATATACACAGATTTTGTGGCTCAGATAAAGTCCAGTTCTGGTTTATTTCTTTGCTCTTGGCTGACATGTGGCATTACTATGGCCTGCTTGTGGCCCAGATCTGGCAAACAGGAGTGAGCCGCCCAAGGGCCGTCATTCATTGCTGCATGTGGGCCAGATCCGCATCCCTCAAGTGCCAGATGTGGGCCGGATCTGGGCCGAAACAATGTTGCTATGTGGGTTGGAGATGTACAGTATGTCTATATGCTGTAGGGTTATTCAGAATGACATGACGGTGATGAAAATGAAGGGGCATCAACACAAGACACAAGGATCTCCTGAATACTCAGGTTTGCTGCACACAGTCAGGTGTATGCTTTATGTTTTGTGTGTTTATTTCTTCTTTTCCTCAGTTGACCTAGTGTGTCTGTTACAGTAGTTACTGCACTATAGCAAGTGTCCACCTGTCCTTGTTTATTCACTCGTTCAGTCTGTGTACTGTATATACACTCTCTGTTCAGTTCATTGTCTGCTCTTATGTCTATTATGTATCTTTCTTAGTGGTTGTTCTCTCTCCTGAGTGTTTTTTCATTTGAGTTACTGTTAAAGTTTAACCTTTGCTACTAGATCCTGCTCAAACTCATCCCTGCCGAAACCACCGTGACACACAGCGCCCGAAAGATTCATTCGTTTCATTAGTAAATGCTAATCTGTTTAACGTCCACAATACAAGTTCTGTCCAAGAATTACAACACGATCATTTATTGAAAAAAAGAACAAGGCTAAAACAAAAACCTAGCAAACGCTACACACAATTGTCATACATTCATGTTGATGAGAAGGATGGCTGCTTAAAACTGAAAAAAGAGCATGTGTAAATAATCCCTAAATCTACTATCATTATCAGTTATTATAAGGTTAAACTAACAAACCAGCACAGATTCAGGAGAAGCACATGCTGAAATTCACTTTTGGAAGATATGTCCCGAGGAAACCAGCAGGAGGTGCACTTGCTCCTTTCTGAGAGATGTAGGAGCTCCAGAGGCTAAAACGGTCTTCACATCCGCATTGTCATCAGGACACCGGACTTCCCATGAGCCTCTCCTGACGCAGAGAAACCAGTCTGTTCAACCACAACCTCTCGGCCTCCTCTTTATCCACGAACAACTGCAACAGAGTGAGAGCCAGCTCAATTCATCAGACTATTGAAGTGCAATGAACGTCCACTCCAGAAACAGACACATCTGAATCATCCACCACAGCTGAGACAATAAACCCCTTTTCTCAGGCTTTTCCCTCACACATGAAGAATGAAAAACTATTTTTTAATATATTCTAGTTCTTTCACAGCTGTGCAATGGACGATTCTGATACATAGTATACGCCTTATTCACGGCAGCGCCATCTTTGATTTTTAATGAGAATGAAAGCGAGGCTGTGAGGGATAGACATGCATCTCTTCAATGGGCTGTACTGTTATTTAATGTGTTTTCGGTTTGTTCTGCTCATGAAACACTGGAAAAATATCTTCCAAAGAAATGTCAGTTGACAAAAAACTCCCGACAATGTAAGCTGTGGAAAATTGTAAGTATCTAGCAGTTTTATTCAGCTTTTTACAGCGGATGCCATTGGAAACACGGTAAGTCTATCCCCTCACAGCCTCACTTTCATACCTGTCATGGCGCTGCTCTGAATAAGGTCTATTGAGTGAAACACAGGCTGTGATCACAGGGATCGCTTCCAGACTGGTGACCTCATGAGACGTGCGTCAACGTTGTTATGATCAGTTACGTGTAATTGAAGCGATGATTGAAGTAAACTGATGATCTCTTATTTATGAACTGAAAATGATTGTATATTGGATTAGAAATGCACAATAAATTGCGTATTATCCAGCTTGTTCTCATCCCAAGGCGTCATATACTGTTTAACAGCATATGATCCTTTTGACATTTCGTCTACATCCAACGCACATGGCACCCTTTAGCGTCAATATGAGATATATATGGGCCAGAAGGCGCCTCCTAGTGGTCTAACCCTAACCCTACCCCAGACCTAAACCTACCCATAACCGAACAAAGCTCGGTGCGTGTTATATTGACGCTAAAGGGTGTCTTGTGCGTTGGATTTAGCCCAACTTTCAAAAGTGTCACTATATGACGCCCTGGGATGAGAATGCGTTGGTATTATCACGTGCATCCGTCTGTGACCGTCTGGATTTGGCCGAGGCCTACTGACGTCATACATCTAAAACGCAAGTAATCCTTTTAAAAGAAATCTTTCCTATTGGTTTCTAATGGATCCCAAGTCTGCGCTCTAATTGTCTCGGTTGGCTTAATATAGGACAATCACAGCTGCGATTAGATTTGGAGCAAGTGTAAATGGTATTGCATCATAAACACATCAGACAGGGTAATACACGCGCTTGATTCGGATGTCAGCATAAAGGGAGAATTTGAGTGATTCCCGCATTAGTTGTGCTTATGAGTTCCTTAAGTTTGGAAGTTCCGGATTGTTCTCCAACACTCATCACTCATTCCCTTCATCCAAAAAACACGAGAGGCACGAAATCAAATCTCTGCTCGGGAAAGACTGATCACTTCCATCCGGCTGCGTGCGCATTATAAGCGTGTGATTTACATCGGGTTAGGGTCCGCCCGTAGCACTCGTTGCGGGGTCTCTGTGTGTCTGGGAAACACGTGCTGAGCAGCGCTAATAGACTGAGGGTGTATGTCGCCTGGTTATCTCTTCGTAGGCGATCCTGCGACACGACAACGAGCCTCCTCTGACTCTCGACGCACCTAGCGAAGCGCAGATAACGAGTTTGAAATTACAGTAGATACAGTAAGTGGTGGTGGCTAAATGATTGAATCATTACTGGTGATCAGGGCTCTCTCTCGCCTTGGGCATATTGCTGCAATAGATCAGCCTGTCGAGCTCATCTGCATCCGTCACACATAACCCAGTTTGCCGAGTGAGAGAGATGGAGCGCACTTTCATAGGAAATTCTGTCTGCGAATATTACTGAGGGTGCATAAGAAGGGCCCTGTGTGGGTTGTCAAGAAGTGGAGCTTCTGAAATAGGCAATTTCTGCAAGGGTGGAGGGGAATAAGACTCGGGAGAGGAGAATTATTGATTGGAGGCCTTTTGGGGAGCTTATTGGAACTTTGGGTGTAATGCCTACGAAACAAATGTCTTATTTGATGGAGAAAAAAAAATGTTCTTTCCAATTAAAAAATAAAAAAGGGTACTATTTTTAATATGGACAAGTAGGCCCACACAAGAAACACACTCTTACGTTGGGGTGAGCCAGGCTGTTGCTGTCGTTGTACGTGATGGAGATGGGCAGAACGGGGACTTCCTCTTTCATAGTCTCGGCCTCTGTCTTGATCTCTGAAGCTTCAGTCGCCTGTGAATAAACAGAAAATCACACAGAGTTTCCAGCATTCAAATCACCTAGTTTGCATTTTTTTGCTATTCTGGTTGAAACTCAATAATAAAAAGTCGAAATATTGTACAAAGTCGCAGGACCTAAACATGTTCATCCGTCTTTCGGCATGATTCATGAGTCACTGAGAGCTACAAAGCAACAGCAGCAGCCTATCACAGCTCCTCCTGAACTAAAACTAACTGTGCGTTCACACCGGCGCATCAAATTCTTGTCTACCGCTTCTGGATGTGACGCTTGACCACTTTGTGTAAATTTGCACGTCAAGAGTGAAACTGACGCCTGTAAAAAACAAAAGTTTGAAGCGAAATTTACGCGCGTCAGAATCGAAATCCGTGGCGGCCATTTTTTTATGTCGACCGAGCATTCATCAAGAGAGTCACCGCACTGTATTTGCTCTGGAGAGCAGAACAGCGGCGTGGGGATCATCGTCGCCGTATATTTGTGTCCACCGGACCCTTCGGAGCCGAAACTGTTTGGCGAGTTTCACCATTTGCTCGCTCCAGGAGCTGCGCTGGATGACGGCCGCTGTCAGCGGTACTTCCGCCTGTCCCGCGCCCAGTTTGATGACATGTTGTCCCGCATCGCAGTGAGGATCACCCTCGCTAGGGTTGGGTATCGTTTGAATTTGAACGATTCTGATTCCGATTCCGAGTTTCGATTCCGGTTCCTAACGATTCTCGATTCCGATTCTTTTAAGAGGCAGGGTCAAAAAAGTTTAGCTAACCTTGCTAACCAACGGTCTTTCTGAAGGAAATAATCCTTTCTGAAGGAAATACTCCTTCTGTCACAAATACTCCTTTTGTCACAAATTTTGCATTTTGCCGAGATTTCGTTATTTTTAGAAAAGTGAAGCCACACTTTGGACCGCTGACGTAAGCTACTCATGTTCGACTCGGGCGGTTATGCCAACACTTCCGGTAGACGCTTCTTCGTTGGTGTTGTTCAGCGGGTTCTTCTTCCGCTCGGCGGACTGTGAATATCGAAACTAGGAATCGAAATTTGAACTTTTGAACGATTCCGGGAAAAACGAAAAGTTAGTCTCGGTTCCAATCGATACTCGATTCTCGATACCCAACCCTAACCCTCGCCCTCATCCACCTAATCTGTCATTTATTTTGATGATAAACAGAGCCAGCCTCCAAAACGTATTAACCTGTCCTGTGATTTTTTTCTCTCTCACGTCCAGACACAAACTTATGCACATACAGTATATGTTGGTTGTCTTTACATCATAATCCTATTTCATATAATCTAGATATGGAATAAATAACATTCAATAGAAAATGAACATGTGTCATATATTGAAATAAAATATTAGCTTTGTTGTGCATTAGAACCACACCAGGCATTTAGTCATATTACAAAATAATTTATTGTAGCATCCAAATCCTTCCCCACGTGAGCAAGCAGCAGGCTCCTGATTGGTTAACGCGGCGCGAATTGACGCCAAAGTTCAGATTTTTCAACTCGGGCGGCAGACGCGAATTCACGTCAAACGCGTGAATGCACAAATAACACTAACTAAATCATTCGCGCTTAACGCGTCAGACGCTCAATTCACGCCATTCGCACGAACTTGACGCATGAATGAGGCATATTCGCGTCTACTGCGCCACGCTCTACGCCTCATTCGCACCGCAGGAATTTTTTACGCATGTAACGTGTCTTTGCATTGACTTAACTTTCAAATCATTCGCGTCTGACGCGCTATTCGCATCCGGTGTGAACGCACCGTAAGGTTGCGTCCGAAATCGAATACTTCCCTACTATATAGTATGCGAAAAACAGTACGCGAGCAGAGTAGTATGTCCGAAATCCAAGAATTCGAAAATCAGTTGGTGAAAAGTACCCGGATGACCTACTACTTCTGGCGAGATTCTGAAGTGCGCATACAATGGACACTTTACTATCCCATGATGCCACGGGAGAGGAGTTGTTGTCGTTTTATTTGAAAATGGCGCGGCTGTAACGTCAGGAGATAAACACAGACAGACATGCGTATCTCTATTGATTCATTTATGTTTATTTATCAATTGTAATATCACAAGCAAATAAATGGCTTTTTCCTTGCCAAAAATCAATATCTGTCATTGTTCATAGGGGTTGTGTGTGTGTTTTATGAGGTAAAATGTATTAGGTAAATACATGTTATTAGAGAAATTCCGCAAAAGCCATGATCTGCGAGCAGCTGACCGACGCCTCCTCTTGATTGTCGGCTCGGATGACGTAAAAACGCAGATGAAAACAGAACTAATAACAGCGCGAAGTTGGTGCAGTCATTGGAATGGGCTCTTTACATTTTCGCACTGTTGTGACAGCGTATGTCATACGACAACAACATGGCGCATGTAGTACGTCCGGACTCATTCCTACTACCCGTATTCATACTACATAGAACGTACTTTTTTAACAACCGTGAAGTACGTTCTTATTTAAATATAGTACCTACTCACATAGGTGGCGATTTCGGACGCAGCAAATGAGCTTATGCTGCGTTCACACCGTGTCTTATCAGTAATCACGAGACTGCAACCTGTACCTGGAGCTGTTCACGTCCTCACAATCAGATTTATGTGCTACTATGTCAACATGATCAACGCTGATATTAATCTGCAGCAGTCAGGTGGTACAGATCAGTGCTCTTTAAGTTGTTTACGTTCATTATGATTGTAATGTTATGTGCTTTGAGACATGAGGTAATTTGTGGGCGTTCATGGTTTTGGAGATGCTCTGAGGGGAGGTGCTTTCGCAGCTAGCTTGCTATTGCTAGCCTCTCTACCTTTAATTAAAAAGAAAAGCTATCTTATCTCGATCTTTTGAGGTACACTGTTTTTCGGTGCCAAAACTAGTCATAATTTAGACCCGTTAAAGCTGGGCTCATCAACAGCAGTCCAGTCCCAGTGAAACACACCTGTCTTGCAGCTTGATTGGGATGCATTGTTAGGGTTAAGGAGCTAAAAAAAATCAGATTGGTTGGTAAAGCAAACAAGTCTTAGTTTCTCAAAATATCTTCTTGTGTGTTCCACAGAAGAAAGTAAGTCACACAGGTTCGGAATGACACGACGAGGATGAGAAAATGAACCGAAATGAACTCAGATTGATTAAAAGAGGCTTTATGCTGCCGTTTTTTGGCATCCCGTTCAATAACGATTTGAAAAGACTGCACGATGATTCAGCAGCAACAAGGTTTTATTCACCCATTAGCCACTGCTGGTGTTTAAATGTGGGCGGTCAAGTTAAAGAATTCAAATACATTCATCCGTCTGACATCAGTAAGCAGCAGACGGTAAAAGGTTATTGCATCTTTTTCAGATTTTAATAACGCTCACTTTGGACTGAGAAGGAAGTGAGTTCAATGAGCTATTTTATCTCAAGAGATCACCTTAAATCTGATTGACCCATTTAAAGTGGGATTAGTGGGTGCAGGTTTGAACCCCATAATGAGTCATTCTTGAAGCAAACACTTATCTGCAGGTTAGTCCAAGGAGATTGAGCTTGTTCATGGATCTATCAGTATAATCATAACTCTTATGTCCTTTCTGTATCCAGCACGATCCTCTAACATCCAGGCTCTGTTAAGTGAGAGTTGGCTGCAAAGTATAGCTGAGAGCTCAGAGCATCCAATTACATCTAATGGAAATTATTGAGAGAATCAAACGTGTGTTATTGTGTGGCCGTGTATGTCCTCCATTTTATTCAGATGGGGCTTTTATTGCTCCATCTACAGAGCTGTTTGTACATCATTCAGAACGAAAAGAAACTCGTGCAGGTAAAGTAATGTTAAGTGCTGGTCTCACATCAGTTCAGCTCATCTCAGAGGAGCACTGCAGTCTGCACAGACAGATCTGAGATCAGCTCGGGGGAGCCGCCCGGCCCTTCTGGGCTGTAATCTATCATACAGCCTCATTTCAACTGTCACCTTTTGTCTCAGACCACAGAGATCTGTGAGCATTTGTTAGTAATCTAATTTGAGCGGTGAATGTGAATGCTGGCGGGACCAGATTCAGTAAAGCCGTCTGTGGAGAGAGCGAACGAGGCCCGGTGCGGCCCACCGACGGGCACACGCTTTCAGGAGCCCGAGCTCAAGTGGACAGAGCAAACGGAATTTAATGGGAATCATTTCATCTGCAGACAAACGCTACATAACTCGGCGAAAGGAAATCAAATAAAAGAATATATAGATATGAGACGGAATAGGGAGGGAGAGAGCGAGAGATGTACCTTGGTGGAGTCCCGAGATGATTTGAAAGCCTGAGGAACAAAGGAGTCACTCTCAATGGCCTCGATGTCCTTTATCCTCCTCACCTGCTCCGCGAGAGATAATTCCTCTGGAAGAACAGAAAACAGAGCGGTGAGTGGACAGACGAGAGGTCAGCCGGGCAGGTCAACTGCTCCCAAACCACGGAAACGGAAAAACATCATGCTGATGGATTCGATACTGTTTGTACGGAGGCGTATTGCATTCACTTGAAGAAAAAAAAAAATCTACCCTGTTTTCCTGAATTAACAAGTTAATTATCTCAAAATTACGAGATAATTTTTCATGGAAAAAAGTTTTTACTCTGTTTTTCTGAATTAACGAGTTAATTTTTCATGAGAAAAAAAAGTTTTTGCTCTGTTTTTTTCTGAATTAACGAATACATTTTTCATGGAAAATTTTTTTGCTCTGTTTTTTTGAATTAACGGGTTAATTTTTCATGAGAAAAAAAGTTTTGCTCTGTTTTTCTGAATTAACGAGTTAATTTTTCATGAGAAAAAAGTTTTTGCTCTGTTTTTCTGAATTAACGAGTTAATTTTTCATGAACATTTTTTTTGCTGTTTTTCTGAATTAACGAGTTAATTTTTCATGGACATCTTTTTAATTCCGAAAAACAGAGCAAAAAAAAAATAAAAATGTCCATGAAAAATTATCCCATTAATTCAGAAAAACAGAGCAAAAACTTTTTTTTCTCATGAAAAATTAACTCGTTAATTCAGAAAGACAGAGCAAAAAAATTTCCATGAAAAATTAACTCGTTAATTCAAAAAAACAAGCAAAAACTTTTTTTCTCATGAAAAAATAACTCATTAATTCAGAAAAACAGCAAAAAAAAAATTCTCATGAAAAATTAACTCGTTAATTCAGAAAAACAAGCAAAAACTTTTTTCTCATGAAAAAATAACTAATTAATTCAGAGAAACAGAGAAAAAAAATTCTCATGAAAAATTAACTCGTTAATTCAGAAAAACAAGCAAAAACTTTTTTCTCATGAAAAAATAACTAATTAATTCAGAAAAACAGAGCAAAAAAATTTTTCTCATGAAAAATTAACTCGTTAATTTAGAAAAACAGAGCAAAAAAATTTCCATTAAAAATTAACTCGTTAATTCAGAAAAACAGAGCAAAAACTTTTTTTCTCATGAAAAATTAACTCGTTAATTAAAAAAAACAGAGTAAAAACTTTTTTCCATGAAAAATTATCTCGTAATTCTGAGATAATTAACTTGTTAATTCAGAAAAACAGAATAGATTTTTTTTCTTCAAGTGAAAGCAATACGCCTCCGTACGTTTGTTCATGACACATAAAAACAATTGTGTTTGTGCTTGTGTCCTGATCCCATTGCCCAGGTTCAGTATGTCAGTAGCACCAGATGCAGCACGCTCAAAATCACACAAAAGGATAGAGAAAAGAGAATATTGGGGAGAAAAAGCTGATCGTGAGAGAAAGAAATTGTAAGGAAAGCTTGTTGACAAAGCATGTGTGGTGTTAAGTTGCCACAACTCAAATCCCCAAAATATAACAGAACATCAGCAATATTTCCCCCTTTATTTATCTTCACCTGATTTGATCTTCATGAACAAGCTTTTTAACTTTAAAATGACCTAAAATAGGTGTGTGAATTTAGCCTAATGAATGCAACAATATGCTGAACATAACATATTCTTTCTATGCGAACTGACTAGTGAAAATCCAACAAGTTGTGCTGTCCAGTCTGTAGCGCTTTAGTTATTCTCCTTTCTTAAGTTCTCCAAGAGTCTGAAGTGGATGCTGGTCAATGAGAAGTCCTCACAAAATGAAAAAAAAGTCCTCATGCTTAAAAAAACAACAACAGCCATATAGCCTAGAAGACGTAGAGCTTGATTTTTGTGTCTCTCTGAACAAAATAAAGCATAGTAAACCGACTCTTCTGGTTGGTATTTGATGTATATTGTATTCAAATCAAGTCCTACTAATATATATATATACATATATATTAAGAGATACATATGGCAATGATTAATATTACCTGCATTATTCATTTCATATACGTATGTGTGTTATCACAGTACACACACTCATTGCTGGTCTTTGTCAGTCGTTGACGCCCTCTGGTGGTTGGGAGTACTGATTTGAACTAAAGACCTGCCGGGACTTTGTTTGGGATTATTTCCATGAATAGACAAAAGTATCTAACTAAATGGTGCCTAAAACTTCAGTTATCCATATTAACATCTTATTTCTTCACCTGTTGTATTAAAGTAATCTAAAACTGGAAATCTGAATATACACTGTGGTTGCTGATAGCCAAAAGTGCTCTTGTTGGTTGTTTGTGTGATTTTGTCAAATTAAGACATTCTGAATGATAAAACACAATGGATTACTGATACTCAAATTCACCAACAATTTAATCTCTCTCCACTCATATGCATGAAAATGCTCATAAACAAACACTATTAGGCAGAAAGAACGCTCTGGCGCGCACACACACACACAGAGAGAGAGAGAGAGAGAGAGATCCCTGTGCTAATGAGAGGAATTAATTTAATCCATTAACTGCCAGGGAGCGACTGTCACAACACATCTTCTCGCTCTGCTCGTTTAATGAATAAATGAATATTTGCTCTGGTTTTCTCTCTGTTAGCAGAAACACTCGTTCGCTCGCTCACACACACACAGCTTCTAGTGTTCGTCTTATCATACGGCTTATGAACATAACTTAAACACAGTAGCACTGCCCTTCTTTCTTGGCAAACTGTTGGAAAATGTCTACAGAGAAACTGTAACGAATATCAAGCTTCTCATTCGAGTAACATACTTAAAGTTCTAACTTCTGACGCCACAACAAACATGCTCTGAGAAACAAACTTGAGCCCGAACTACTAACTGGTGTATTTACTTTACAGGCATGAAAACACACACTTCGTCATATAAAACAACACACTTGAGCATAAGGCAATATCCTCGAGAAGTCTACAGCCTGTCCTGAAGATGACAGCAGTCCACTGCCTCTCAATCACACATGTATTACCCCTCCTGTGTGTGTACTGAACATCTTAATGACTGATACATAGACACAAACACACAAGCCCACCCACATATATCAGTGACAACCTATCCTTGGCCCGGAATCCCATTAATGCCTCATACTTTTTGACAAACACATTATGGGTAGATAAAATGACTTCCATATGCTGTTTGTCAGATGTCACTGAGGAAAGATATGTATTTCATAGGAAAATCAAAAATAATGGACTTTGAGAGAGGGGCCCGTACCGAGCGGATAGCGGGAAATCGATAGCGCTGTCGGAGAGACGTCTCTGCCAGACACGATCAGCACAAGGCCAGGTCAAAGTTGACATTTAATATTGACACATTATCCACAAAATTAATTTACAGTCCATTGTCGCTGCATTACACAAGCCTTATAGCAGTCTTAACCACAGAAAAAGAGAGATGACGAGTGATTTTGTTATATTGAAGTATGTTTCCCCCATCCGTGTTGCCCTAAAGGCCTAAACGGATTCAGTTGATGATAGGTTGGATGTTGTTGTTAGAGATTTGGATGTGAATCAATTGAAAACAAACCAAGATTTGTAAAAAAAAACACCAAAAAAACAAAAACAAGGAACGACAGACACCAGCAACATATCCAGCTTGATTAAATGCCCTTAATACGGTCTCTTAATAGCAATTTCTCCACTTCCAAATGAAGGAGACGATCCACAGAAGACCACCAGAGGGCGATGTTCAACAACTCAAGGTCCTGTCGGAAAGCCACAACTCACCGAGCCCCATTAATTCACATAATTGAATGCCTTACTTCCACGAGCAAAATTACAGCAGCTCTCATCACTGATGGAATAATGAAAGCAGAAACTGCCCATCATCAGGTGACGTCTCACGCGGCCACGGATTCAAAGGTGCTTTTGAATGTCATGAGCAAGGAAAGCCAGACCTAACGAGGGCACTGCACTGATTGAGAACGACAAGTGCGAGAGCGCTTGTAATAAACACACACTATATCTATATGTAAAACACGAGGAGCGTTCACAACACCGCTGTGTTTATGTGTTTGCTGGAAACAGCCAAGCTCAGCTCACAACACAAATGAACCATCACTGAACTTTTCCTGTTATCACTGTAAAGCAGCTTTGAAATAATTGTGAAAAATTACTACCATAATTTTTACGGTAAAAAAAACGGCAGCTGTGGTTGACAGAACTTTACCGATAAAATACGATTGGAACGTTAATGGTTTTACAGACTTAACTTAAAATTTACAGTAATAAACCGTATTTCGTTATCTGATAAAATGTTGATTTACCAACCTTTTGAACAATTGATAGCTGTTTTGTACTATTGTAATACACTGACAACCAACAATCATCACAGCAGAGAGCAATCAAAGCTCATCAGAAGTAGTCTTCCATAAAGAAGGTTAATACTAATATAAAGAAGCTGCACAGTGTCATTCACACAAACATTAAACACACATGAAATTAAAAAAATGTAATAAACATTAATTTAACAACATTAAACCCTAATGTACATAACTGATTAGAAAAAAAAAACTATTATTTCAACAACAAAAAAAAAAACAGTTATTTCAACGAAAATACATAAAAAGCTGTACACAGGGAATTGTGGGAATGTCAATTTACGTTTTTTTCACTGTAAATTATACAATGAGTTGTTCTTTTTCACTTTCAAAAACTGTAAATTTACCGGTATTTTACAGTAATTTACCCTATATAGTACGGAAACTTTCTGTTAACCAATTAATAGCATTTTTACCGTGAAAATCTTTTACAGTGTATATTTACAGTGACAACAATATTAAAAAGTTGATTTTCCATTGGCTTGTATAATACAAATATTTTGTGTTCACAATTCCTACCTACTCATATATTTTACAGCTTGGTGTCGTATTAAAGACTGCATTCATTTACATGACCAAAAGTAGAAGTTAAGTTCAGCGCCACTGATATAAATCTACATAGATCACACAAAATAAACGAATTCACACCCAGCACACACGAACACACTTGGATCAATGCGCAAAAGCCGTTAAACACACAGACACTGGCTCTATGGTAATCCGGCCCCCCCTCTCAGCATCAGGATAAGATATGTAATTCAATACTCAATTTAGCCTCGTCTCTGCGGATAGATTT